CAGGTAGGTTTTAGAATCATTTTCATAACAGCGTGGACAAGACCATTTTTTTGGCGCGCTCAGGTTATCAATTGACTGGGTCAGATTAGGTGAACGTTCGTTTGTAACGCTCACTTGTCATAACGTACGTGATATAGACATTTAAACTGTGGGTCGCCAAAGGTTCTAAACACGTAAATCAAATAATAGGAATAATTAGCAGAGGACTAAACCTTGTGTGTTAATTTAAATGTTGAATACTTAACTTTCTTATTTTCTTCTCGTGCACCTGCATGTTTTTTTACTCTTTTATTCTATTTAAATTCCCATTAAAAGGCCTCGGTTAGTCTGAGTGAGCATAAAATCACTGTTATCGATAGCCGATGACAAACAAGTTAAAGGTAAATTATTCATAAGTATTACCAATATATGTATTGCGGTTGTCCACGCTGCTTTGAAAATGATTCTATTTTAGAATTGAAATCTACTGCATTACTTTACATACCCAAACTATGCGTAAATTATCATTTATGTAACCTTAGAAGTATGGTTATATTAAGGCCAAAATATTGTTCTTTGTTCTTTTATTTCAATTTGATCGTGACGTTTTATTGATAAATGTGTATGAAATTTTTGAACTAATGTTTAATAATCATACAAATTTTCGAAACGGAACACTTTCAAATTTACTGCTGATAAGCTTTTTCTAGATTTTCACTCTTAAAGAATTAAAGAACTTAAATTTAAAAAAAATGTGTAATGGTATATCAAAAAAGGCAACAGTAGTATATCGATGTTCAAAAGTCAGAAATCGATTGAGATAAAACAAATCCAGGTTAAAACTAAAACCTAGGGAAACCCATCAACTATAAGAGGAAAACAACGGAACCACAGAAACACTGATCATGAGGTGCAACAAAAACAAGCGCCAACATACATAGAAACGAACTATTTCATTATTATGTTGTGTTCATGCGATATCGACGTTAACTCGACCTTTATGGGCCCTCTATAGCTTGCTGTTCGGTGTGAGCCAAGGCTCCGTGTTGAAGATCGTACTTTGACCTATAATGGTTTACTTTTATAAATTGTGACTTGGATGGAGTGGCACCCATACCTCATCTTCTTATATCTACTTTTGTTTCTATACACATAAGTAAAAAAATCATTTTTTGAGAACATTTGATAAAAGAAGGGCGAAAGATTTTGATATATCGGAAAGGACTAGCCAGATAAATCAAAAAGATGTCACCCTTGCTTTAATGACAGTTGTGATATATATTCACTTGGTCATGTTTTTGAATGTGTACGTTATACTTAATATTTCTTGGATATATGTTTTATCAAGGTATCTTGCCTGGAAGTATAAATACATCAATCTAAGTAAAAAAAATAAGATTTCCTTACCAGCCTATTCGTTGTCGCGAAATGATTGGTTAATTAACCGTCGGCATGGCACTCACTTAGATCAACTATTTTTAAATATTCAGTGATTGCTTCGAACTTGCAAATACCTTAAAGCTTTTACAGAAGAACTACAGGATAGCAAGATGTCTAAATATTACCAGGTGTGTATATGAATGTAATAATTAATTTTTGTTAACTATTGTGTTATTTGTTGTGCATATTTGGGTTTAAGTTAAATAAATTAAAATACGGAATTTATATTTTAAAATTGGAAACCCGTTTCAATATATCAAAGATACTCTCGGAGCTAATGATACTTTTCATTCTTATAGGCGACACGTTTAAAAAGTTATAAGTCATTAGTGGAAATTCGTTCATCTCAGTAAAATAAATGAACAAATGAATTATAATGAACTGTAAACAGTTTCGATTGGTAGTGGCGTGCCTTATAGCATCGTTTTATTAGAGATATGATAATCAATATTTGACACGACTGGCTCTATTGTAATGTTGGTAATAATTATCAATAAACGTCGGTTAAAATTGTAATTTTAGAACAAATACGACGGTTTAATACTCCAATTGTGGACATTCCAATATGGGTTTTAACGTTTAACGTGACACATTGAGTTTTTAATTATTTTTGTTTTATATTTTTGAATATATTAGCTTGAAATAGAAACAGATTTTAGTTTAATTTCATCTAAACAAATTGTCAATTTTTCGACCTCTTAGCATTATTTCATATGTGATGTCACCCCTCACCAATTGATTGTGTCACATAAAGAATATATCAGCTAATATCTTTGTGGGCGAAGGTCTAGGGTTGCGCCACTGTCAATTGTTCAGAAAGCCGTCATAAATTTGCAGAAAATTCAGGTTTTTACGAAATTCATCTACAGTTATGTAACAAATACGTCATTCATGACGCAATTATTAAAAGTCTCTATTCATAAAACAATTGAATATTTTAACATATGACTTGTAATAAATTTTAATCACATTATGGCGTTAATTTTTGTTAGAAGTTTGGGTCAAAATTATAATTAGTTAACAAACTCAATTATCATGCTTAGTCGCATGGTTTGATCTATAATTGTTGTAACGTTAATCATTTTAAGGATGTTCGCTCCTCTTGTTTTTGAATTTTGGTCAGATATTCTGAATCCTCTGGTTTTATCCATGTGCAGCAATTAAAAATTTCCCCGCTAACCTCTACTTTTCTTTTCATAGTTTTATTACATATAGTTTAAAAAGTCATATTTGAAAATGTTATAAAATCCGTACTTTTTCACGATTTTTTTTAAAGAAAAAGGATGCTAATGTTCAATGTATTAAAAAGCTAGAGAAAATTATTCCCGTCAAATTTTCAATGCCTTACATCTCAAAAACAAGCACACGGACTTTTCATTTTTTTCTACTGTTTTTAAAAGTTCAGTTCCTTTACTTATATACTATAAATTTTTAACAGCCTTTTAAAAAGCTTGTTATTTTGAAACAGAGTAGCGAACATCCTTAAGTTTATGTTAGTGATAAACTTGCGGCTCATTGTGGAAGAAATATATTTACTTTCTCTTTACTTATATAGTATAATTGATTGACTTATGTACTGCTGAACCTGTGGGTATGCGAATAATTATAAAAAAAAAATATGTGGTATGATTGCCAATGAGATAACTCTCCACAAGAGACCAAATGACACACAAATGAACAACTATAAGTAACCGTACGGCCTTCAACAATGAGCAAAGCCAATACCGCATAGTCAGCTATAAAAGGCCCCGAAATGACTAATGTAAAACAATTTAAACGAGAAAACTAACGGCCTAATTTATGTACAAAATCTAAACGAAAAACAAATATGTAACGCATCAACAAACGACAACCACTGAATTACAGGCTCCTGACTTGGGACAGGCACATACATACAGAATGTGGCGGGGTTAAACATGTAAGCGGAATCCCAACCCTCCCCCTAACCTGGGACAGTGGTGTAACAGTACAACAAAAGAACGAACTATGAAAATCAGTTGAAAAAGATGTAACTCAACAGATGGATACAAATAGAAATACATCTAACAAATACATAGAGTGGACGTGGCCGGGTACTTGTATATCCCAACAACAAAAAGACACTAAGTACAGATTTGAGAGTACTCGCAGTTAATAAGTTCATAATTGGATCGTTTCCTAATTACGTTCCAAATACTGTTATTCAATCTGAAATATGTCTACTAGTTTGTTTTTTCTTTTTCAATTGACATAGATATGACATTTTTTACAATAAGTGTTATTGGTATAATTGTTAAGACATCGACTCCAATCATAATTGGCTAGGGATGTCAGTATTCCTACTGGATGTTGGTGATTCAATCCGGGTACTCTTGTTTCCACCACAGTTACAATTATTCGCCATGAAATAGCTTAAGGATGTGCGCTTCTCTGTTTCAAAATAACAGGCTTTAAAAAAACTATTTTTAAATGATAGTATATAAATAAAGGATCTAAAAAAGCAAAAATAAAACATTGGCCGTTTTTTTTTGGTTTCAAAAACTATAAAAAAACCGATTTTATAAGACTTTCAAATATGGCTTTTTAAACTAAATGTCATAAAATTATGAAAAGAAAAGAAGGGGTTACCGGAAAAAATTTTCTTTATTGCAATACATAGATAAAATCAGAGGACTCCGGAAATATTGCAAAAAATCGAAAACAAGAGGAACAAACATCCTTAATAGTGCTTAAATAGAGTTAATCACCAATCAATCATTCAAAGAATAAATCAATCAATTTATTAATCAATTAAGCAAAATGATTCAGACTTTTCTTTGTTACACTGAGATAAGGACGTCATATGCAGTGAATAAGCTAGATTTTCAGAAAACATATATCATGCGAACGAAGTTATAGTCAAGAAAAATCAAATCTAGAAGATAACGCGGTACACCAATTGATCAAAATGAATGGAACGGAACACTTGAAAATCATATTGCAGTGTAGAGATAAGTTAATGAATGTAGAACGTATTTTCTGTTCTAGAGATGTGTATATGTTTAACTTGTTCATTAGGTATATATGATATAGATGTTTGTTCTTTGTTTTGGCTGGTGTATCTAATAATGAGATTTTTTAATATTAATCATATTGTTTCCCGTTTGACACTAGATACAATTTACCACTGGTGATAGTTGATTTGTTGTTGGTATAAATGTGTGTGCAACCAAACCGATTGCGTACCACCTGCATGCATGTTTGACAAGTGAAAGCATGTGTCACACATGTACGCATTCGTGGCACTTCAATGAAAGGAACGAATATGTGCCACTTTAATGCATGTGTACCAATGGTAATTGTTGTGTCTTTTTGTGTGTTTTTTTCTGTGCGAGGTGAACACTTTTGTATGCGTTTTGTTCTTATCTTGACATTTCTAATCTTTTATTGAAAAGGTAAAGACGTAGCGTTTGTACTTGCAGCGCTTCTTTTCTACGATAGAATTCATGACAGCTTTAGTCTCGACATTTAAAAGACAGAAATTCAAGTAAAAATTAACTGATGTAACTAACCCCCTATTTAAAAAAGATCAAATATTTACTGATGTTACATTTTATTTACAGCTATACATGGTTCTTCTAACAGTGGTATTCATTTCGCAAAGTACATGTGTAATTCAGTTATTACCTAGACAGATACCAGGACAGATACCAGGACAGATACCTAGGCAGATAATACCTCGACAGGTAATAACGAGACAAGGTGTAGAGGAAGAACAACAACAAATATTTCTTATCAGTGATGGTGAAACAGCAGGTAACTTTATTTTCATTTGGTTCAAATCAAAAATAGTGAACCTTAAATATCAATGTCAATAAAAATTAAAAACTAATTGTCCAGAGAACAATTGAAGGTCTTTCCACTTCTTAGGATTTATTTTGATATGAAAATATTGAAATTCGGTTTAAAATGTCATTTCCAGTGTCAAATAATAGCTTATTGTTTGATCATACCAAAAATATATGGTTTCTATTTAATTTTGTTTGAAATAAGGGAGGTAATTTGTTACTTCCGGTCTGAAAAATGTCACTCCCGGTATTATTCGATAGTTTACTTGACACTGATTCCAAAAATATATAGTTCAATATACTTTTTATATGAAATTAGTACAAAAAATAGGCACTTCCAATTTACACAAGGTCACTTCCGGTTTGCTTTTTCAAAGTAATATGGCTTGTTATCTAATGCACAAAGTCCTATGGGTTTATGATGTATAAATATGAATTTAAAGCAAAGGTCAAAATCTAGAACGTCAAATTAACCTATGACTTTGATCTCAATTTCAAGGTCAGAAACCAAGGACCTCAAATCAAAAGACCCTAGAGCGTTAATATGTATGGTTAATGAGTATTATCACTTTATGCATAATTCTCAACATAAGAGGGGAGAAAACTCCCGTTTAATGTCTTCGCACCCTTTCAACCAAAATTTATGAGTTACGACATGTCGCAAATGACAATTTGATAAAAAAATATGTTGTCAATATCTTGTACGGTTTATGAAAAGTAGGGAGGATAAGCCAAAACCAAAATTTAGAATATGACCTTGACCTTTGACCTTGATCTTATTTTCTTTTTTTTCGGACCAAAGACCTCAGATCCAAAGACCGACCCTAGGTTTCTATCACTAACAGTTTACCAGTTACAATGCAAATCACTTATATCAAATGCATAAGGGGAAATAACTCTCACATGGAGTCTCCGGAACGCTTCGATGAAAAACAAACTCAACATCCTGAAGATATAGTGAACAATTTGGTAAAATACATTTGTCATATTCTGTTACGGTTGCAAAGGAGTAGTGGACACATGAAAAACAGTGTTTAGGGAGATAACTCTTACAAAAGTAAGTGTTCGGTTAAATAGGATTAGTTTCAAAAGCGATTAAAATGTTTGATATCATATACCAAATATGTAAGCGACATCTTGTAAAATAATAATGCTGCGCAAGAACAAAAAGTAGGAGGAAGAACAAAAAAAAAAAAGTGGAAAGACCTAATAATAATAATATTACAGTTATAATGTAGCAGTGTTCAAGAGTGTCGTATAAAATATGAAATTCCATGCGTCCGAAGTGCTTTTCTGGATTCAACTATGTATCAACGTTTTGATTTGATATAAATTTAAAACGCGTAATCTAAGATTTAAAAACATTCTTGTGCAACACGCGAACTAGGCCTTACAAAGCGTTTGTGAAACACAAATAATTATCACAATTACTCGCAAATGGTGTTAATGGTAAGTCTATTTTACCACGAACAGCCATTAACCGATTAGAAATCGGACTTATCAAAAAATATTCTTATTCCTATTTCTAATATAATAGAGCCCTTTTAAAGAGAGATCTTTCCATATCAGTTATAAGTTGTGATGTATACCATCACCACTGGACTATGTTAATAAATGTCCAATAAAAAATCGTTCTTTTATTCCATTAAAATCTATCCTGTTAATGATTGACTATAAGGAGACAAAGTTTATTAAGAGCAACAGCTAAAATCTCAAAAAAAAAAATGTGTCTTTCGATCATTTTAGGGAAATAACCACAAACAAATATTATTCATTTGAAGTTTCGATGTACGGGTCATTGACATGCCATAATCCAAAGGCATGGTGTCATTTGTTTTTCCGATCACTATCTTCTGATGTATTGGTTTCCCGCCTAAAGCCCAACTATATATGGTATCAAGAGCCCGAAATAAGGAAGTTGGTCATGCATACATTAACCAAAGTGTTAGTCATCCTTTTGCTAACCAGTGTGTTAGTCAATCCTTTGTTAATCGGTGAATGAAAATTGTCACAAATGATTACAGATACTCTTGTAAAAACTATAGTCTATCCTCTTTTCCATGAAAGTGACATAATGAAATGCGACTTATTGCCATATCCATTGTGCAACGAGTACACATCAGGTGCCACTAGCATCTTTTTTACACTTCTGGAACACATGATTTCACTCCAGTTGTTGATAGCGTTCGTGTTTTCGTTTTATAACTTTTTTGTTATTTTTGGTTCTTGTTTTGATCATGGTATTGTTATATAACAAATGATTTTTTATTTCCGATTTTGCATTTTATCTTTCTTTCACAAGTTAAAGTAGACTTGTGAATAAGTAATGATGTATGTTGTAATATATAGTAATTACGGGGTGCTTTGTATTGCGCCAATTGGCATTTCGTTTGCGCCAAAAAAATCTTTCATTTGCGCCACAAACCATATTATATTTGCGCCAATAATACAGGTAAATACAGGTAAATAGTAGAAAAAATAGTTTTATTCAAAAGATACTTTTAAGAATAAATTTAAAACACAGTTTTTGATTGCATGATAAAACATATTCATCCAAAATCAGTTATCGTAACCAATTCAAAATGATACGTTCTTATAAAAGACTTTTCACGATAATGTTAAAACACAGTTCTGTTATAAATTAACGAGATCATAAGACCTAACAGAAAGCACTATATACACTGGAGTAAAACCAACAGTTTGTTCTGACACAAGACTTGTTAGAAACGGCTCGCATGTACTCCTGTACGTTGGATAACCGATATGTATGGTCATTAAAATATATTTTCTCTATATACAAATAATGAGATGTGGTATGATTGCCAATGAGACAACTATCCACAAAAGTTGTAGTGGATGAAAACAACTATAGGGAACAGTACGGCCATCAAAAATGAAAAAAACCTATACCGTATACATGGTATAGTCGGCTAGAAACAGCCCCGCCGACTTGAAAAATGTAGTTAATATTTTTTGGCGCAAATGAAACATAACCTTGTGGCGCAAATGAAAGATTGGATATTGTAAAAATTGGCTCAAATGTAATGCGCCCAGTAATTAGTATCAACCATTGATTTCTATGCCAGAAATCCTAGAATGTAATATTGAAATTATCTTATACGCCAAAAAAATGCATACAGAACATTTACTTTTTATGCCCCCATCGTAGGTAATGTTGGCATTACATCTAATTCTTGACCGTCCTTCCATCCTTCCGTCCATCAAATTTTTTCCACACTCTAACTTAAGTGTTTTCCATTCAAATTTTATCAACTCATAGACAACGCTAAGAACCACAACACACAGACAGAGTTTGGACAGTGAGTCATTTACAGTTCTAGAGTTATGCACCTTTTAACATGGTTAAGTTTGAGCGGGGGCATTCAAGTGTTCAGACACATTCTTCTTTTATTCATGTTTTATTATTGCGATTTATTATTGCATGGAGTTGGAATTTTAAAAATAGCTCGGACATATAATTGCTTTTTCTTAAATAAATATGGTATTTCACATTCGTCTTTTAAATTATGCATTTAATGTCTAAACTTAATTTTTGATCAATTAAGAGCTGCCCTGGCCATAATTATTTTCTACTGATTTATACCGAAAGTGATTTATTGAGTACGGTCTAACAAGCACCCAATTCGTTCATCATCCTTAGAGTACTGAAATGGTAAGCACCACTTCTTTGTGTAACATTAAATCATTATTTGATTCGTTTTACAGTGGGTGGTACTGGACGTGGCACAGGATCATTTTTGCAATTGTTTCCTATTCCTCTTTTGACACTTGCTGTACCCATGATGGCAATGGCGATGATGACAATGATGAATACTGTTACTGATGGAACAACTGTTGCGGCACCAATTGTTCCCGTTACTGTGCCAACAACACAATCAGCTGCACAAACAAGTATGTATCGTTTGATATTCAGCTTCCTTCTCCTTTTCTTGAGTAGATGCAGTGTTGTTGTAAAGATAAAAATTAAAAACGTTGTTTGCCCTACTTTTAAAAAAAGCTTTGAATTACTTGTATACCTCAGAACTGCATTGAAGATATAGAACAAATATGATACAGAAAACTTAAAAAATAGAAATAAAAATACATCAGCAACGTGCATATTTAATTGTGTTCAGTAAATAAACACAATTGGACATACATAAATTTATTCACTGACTTTTTTTAGATAACCCAACTTAAGTCATATCATTTTTATTAATTAAGTCTGCAAACATGACTTTTTTTCTAAATATACTCACTGCATTACAATAATTATGTTATTTTGCGAAAATGCAGTATATTACTTATTTTCCATTTCAAACAAGTTATTTTCTCATTGGTGTATTTTCGTAGACAAAACGAATCACTTGTTTTCTTTTTATTCTGACATTAATGAATTTTGTGTTGCCCAATCTAGTTGTTAACAGCTGCCTTACATATCACAACCATTATATATAGGTTTATATCTGTGTGTATTTGGTATCAAATTACCAGGGTATTCATTTGACGAAATTGTATTCCTTTTAGTAAGAGTTATACATTGCATTTTCATATTGTCAATGTCGTACATTTAACTTATAATATTTGTTTATGGCATCGGTTTACTCGATGTTGCTGCTTTTTATTTAAATATTTATCTCTTATTATGTCATATGAATAGCACCATGTGTTCCCGCAGATTGTCCAAATAGATATGTGTTGTTAGATGACCAAACCGTTAGTCCTAATTGTTACTTTATAAATGAACAGGACGATGATGATCGGTTAGCGTGGGCTAGTGCTCTGGTGAGTATGTTTTATGTTGTTTCAGGTTTAATTACATCTTGTTCAAGTAATCTTGATTTTGAATGATTGACATCTAATGTGAAATTTGGTCATTACAACCATTACGTAGATGATACTATTGATGTTTTTCAAACACAAATGTGCCTTTGTCGTCCGTTAAGGAGGCGCTAGATAATATTTGCCCATCATTAATTGTGATTTTTTATACGGACGGAAGATGAAAGATTCTGGCATTACATTTCGAATGTTTACCTGAATAATCTCTATTGATAGTTGATTGATTGATGTTGGTTTCGAGCGCCCTTTTCAGCACAATTATTTTTTTTTCGTAGTGGCTAATTTGTATTAGTGAAGGGTTCTCGGGTGCCCGGAGAGAACCACCGACCTTCGACAGGAAATCCTGGTAACTAAGATTAGAGTCGAATGCACATGGCATGTGCGGGGATGAAATTCACAACCTCAGTGTTGAAAGTCTTGTGTTACAGGTGTTGCACCTGTCCTACGTCAGGAAGCTGATGTTCAGTAGTTGTCGTTTGTTGATGCGGTTGATAAGTGTTTCTCGTTTCTCGTTTTTTATATAGAGTAGACCGTTGGTTTTCCCGTTTGAATGGTTTTACTCTAGTATTTTTGGGGCCATTTATAGCTTGCTGTTCGGTATGAGCCAAGGCTCCGTGTTGAAGACTGTACTTTGACCTATTATGGTTTACTTTTATAAACTGTTACTTGGATGGAGAGTTGTCTCATTGGCACTCATACCACATCTTCTTATATCTATATCATGTTCAAAAGGAGATGAAATATACTATAACTAGTATTCTTCTTCTCAACTTATAGTTTGTGCAAACATCTCTCTGATATTTCTCAAAAAAAATCCGTACCTGGAAAGATTATAAATCGTTAAGGAATTTACCTTTCAAGACGGAATTATTAAACATAATTCGAGTATAAATAATATGAAACACTAATTCATGCATATCTGCTTCTATTCAAAATACATTGATATTGTAAATATTGAACCAATACTTAATGATGATCATCTAAAAGTTAAAATAGATGCTTTATCGAAAAAAAAAATATATGAATAAATGATTACCTCCAAATGTATTCGCTTCGATTAATGAATAAATATCATACAACATTACCCTATAAATGTTTTAATGTAGAAAAATGATATAAGGAATTCTAAATTCTAAACCATTTCCACACGTGTAATTTATCAAATGAATAACTGTTCTGCCATTCCCTTCGATATTGCAGGCGTCACAAAAAGTTTCAGCAATGTGAACAAGAAGAGATTACCGGTTTGCGTCAACAAGACAACAAGTAACTGTGGATCTTTTATTATTAAACTGGAAATTTTGCATAGGCTTGTAAACAGACTTTGGCAAAACCATGAAATCAAATATCCACGGAAATATGTTTTTATGAAGCCACAAAAAAATAGTAGTCCACAGTTACAAAAGAATATCTTTTAGTTAAAGAAAAAAATAACTGAGAATTTTCGTTAGTTATACTTGCAGTACCGATACAGTAAGAACTACGTTATTGTTTATCCTGCTTCTCCATTGTCATGATTGTAATAATTATATTATTTGCTGTAGCATTGATTCATGTTATAAATGTAAATGCTGCATCTTGTACTTAAATTCTAGGTGAAATGTATCAGGACACCAGGAGCCTACCTATGGATGCCAAGTAGTGAAACACAAGTTAACGCTGTATTTGAAAAGCTTAGTTTCCGTAAGTAATTAGTAAAGTAATGAATTATTCTTTTTTGTATAATAGTAACTAAAAACAAAAGCAAATATCATTTGGCAAGACAGAAAAAGAGTAGTAGTTATGCAATAAGAAAATCGTTAGTTTTAATTATCAATCAGTTTAACAACATGTATCTCGACACATATTTTTTTATTCCAAATTTTACTGCCATACCAGTACTTAAAAGAATGCGATATCAAAGGCTTTCTACAGAGGTATCTCGTAATGATTTTTCTTTCTTTGAAAGCGTGGGAAATGGGCTAAAACTACAGATAAGGATGATTCATTGTATTTCCCAAGCTTTGGTTACCAATACAATATGCATAGTAAGCCAAAGGCAACAAGAAGCAATCTATTAATGAAGTTTCAAAAACCTTGGTTGAAAACTAAAAGAAGTTGATTGCACAAAATAGGTACCGTCTTTTGTGAATCTTGCAGAAAGAAATGACTAAGTTCCCAAATCTGGAAAATGAGGATCTGCCGAAAAACTGTATAATAGGCGGCACACAACACAAATTGTGTGCTATCTATATGTGACGTTTCTAGGACTTACGCTGAAATTGAATTTGACAACAAGCAAATGTAGCAACTAAACAACGCCCTCCCGTCCTCAATAATCACTCTATAAACTAATTATGTAAGTGTAAAACGTTAAAAAGAACAGACATGAAATAAATAGGAGGAGCGCTATGGAAAATCTGTAAATGAATTAAGAATTCGTGAACATTTCAGTCCCTTCAAAACTGTAAGAGAAGTTGTGACTGGAAAATGCTTACTCGGATCAAATTAAAGGTATATCAGAACTCCTGAAGTTCATTTTTAGGTACAAGAAATGAATCCCTAATATTTGTGGAATCAAAATAAAACACAAAGTGAAAAAATGGTATTTCATTATGAGTTTAAAGAAGGAGCTTGTTGTTATCATCGTTCCTATGATTATTCATTTTCATTTCTTGATGTTCGCTCCTCTTGTTTTTGATTATTTGCCAGATATTCGGAATCCTCTGATTTTATCTTTGTGGTGCCATTAAACATTTTGCCCGCCAACCCCTACTTTTCTCTTAATAATTTTATTACATATAATTTAAAAAGCAGTATTAGAAAATTTTATAAAATCCTTATTACTTTCATAGTTTTTGAAAGAAAAAGGGTGCCAATGTTAAATGTATGAAAAATCTAGACAGAATCACTTCCCGCCAAATTTTCAATGGTTCATATCTCGAAAACAAGCACACGGACCATTTAGTTTTTACTGATTTTTAGCTCGATTATTCATATACTTTCAATTTTTAACAGTCTTGTAAAAATCGATTTATTTTGAAACAGAGAAGCAAACATCCTTAAGACTTTGAAGACAAATCTCTTTATCGTCGGATATTTATGCTTATTTTAAAAGTTAAAGATACTTAACAAAAACATACCACTGCAATTTCAAGTCCAGCAAGATATGAAACACCATTTAAAAGTGCAATTGTAATAGCAATTGTAATCTTCTTAGTGTATTACCATTAGAATGTGTGTGAGTGTACACTACTATACATGTAAATCAAATGGTAGTCTCGATTACTCTAACGAATAAAACAATATTTTAACAAACGAAAGAAACGCTTTATAAAAGACATCGTAGAAATTGTTGTATATAATAATGGTATAAATATGAAAGCGAAAACCATTTTGTGTTGGTTGTAAAGAATTTTAATTTGAAGTTTTTTTTTTCCATTTCTATAGGAGATTTTGAATTTATGAAAAAATAATAAAATCGATCATCTTTATGAAGACTCTAGCTCAAATTATAGCAACTGCTCTAAAGCGACAATACACAATCGCTTCTTGTTATGATACAGGTGAAATAATTTACCCTATTTGGCCGTATCATGAAACATATTTAGTAGCACTTCTTTATATTGAGCAATATTGGTAATAATATACATATTGATATAAAACAAAGAACTATACATTATTTATCTTACATTTATAGAGTTAAACATTTTTGAGTCAAAAATGATATGAATAAACATAACCATAATGACAAAGAATTAGAAAACCGTAGTTTTGAAATTATCTTCTTTTTGTTTTTTGTTGTGTGTGTGTGGTGGGGTGGGGGTTGGGGTGGGGGGTTTAAATACTAGTAACAACAATTCTATTTGTGTATTCCCCAGAAATAATATCTGCAGTTCGTGTAACTGCATGTGATTTAACGTCAAAATTCAAACAATTTATCTGTGTATTCCCCAGAAATAATATCTGAAGTACGTTAAGGATGTTCGCTCCTCTCATTTTTGAATGTTTGCCAGATATTCAGAATTTTCTGGTTTTATCCAATTAGCACCATTAAAATTTTTTGCCCACTAACTCCTACTTTTCTTTCCATAATTTGAATACATATAGTTTGAAAATCTTATAAAATCCTTGTTATTTTTTCATCGTTTTAATAAGAAAAAAGGCGGCAATGTTAACTGTATGAAAAATCTAGAGAGAATTATTTCCCGCCAAATTTTCAATGACTTATATCTAAAAAACAAGCACACGAACCCTTCATTTTTTTCTGCTATTTTAGTTTCTTTATTTATATACTATCAATTTATAAAAGTCTTTTAACAAGCTTGTTATTTTGAAAAAGAATAGCGAGCATCCTTAACTGCATGTAATATAACGTCAAAATTCAAACAATTTTAACTAACATATAAGACCTAATTCAATTTAGTAAAGCAGCCCGCCTATTCAAATCAACGGTGAGTATGTAAGCATTTAGAACTTAACACACATAGTTAGTTAAACAAGAGCCGTTATACAAATAAAGACTTTTGGTGAGGTTGATAAATCATTGTATCAACTGAAATCAATAGTCAACAATTGTTTTATTATATGACTTTTTATCGTTTTCCAATTTTCTAGTATTTGCTCAAGATACTTTTAAAACTGCTCCCTGTTTTATACTTAATATACCATCTGCTTTTGCAATTGCTTATTTTCCATACGAACCCATGCTCGGTCCGAATTACATAATCGGGATAGGGCAAATTCGGTAACATTTCAGATAAGACGGCTTTCCTAGTGTTAAAAGACCCACGACTGCAAATACATGTGGCTAGTGATACACAGACATATCATAATAGTGATCAAGTGGGGATAGTAAAAAAATATATTGTGTAGATTTTAGTTGTCTTTGATATAACTTTGTTGGATACGTTTTGGGTAAGTCTATGATAGCATTTGCTAACTGACTTGAATGAAGAATCGTCCTACATGTCATATGCTACTTATTTTAATTCAATTATTCTTAGCGAAAAACACTGACGTATGGACTGGTGGATATAGTCCTGACAATAACGGAAATTATGTATTTGCCGTAACCAATAGTCCTTTGCCCTATACGAATGTTCCATTTGGAGAGAGTAAGTTTTACCTTTTAAGATAATTAAGTAAACATATGTTGTTTAAGGTGTACTGTTTATAATACTAATATCCTGATGTTATGTATGTATGGTGGCATGTAAGTGACATCGACTTGTTAAGACAGCAAGTCATGTCGACTTAATTATGAAGATATCATGATAAATTATCTTGCTATCTTGACAAGTCGATGTCACTTACATGCCACCATATATATGTGTTATCAAAAGATACTGTGATATTTTTTAATACAAAATAGAGGGTTTTGAGTGTCCATTCTGGATACATGGTTTATTTATCTATATTACTTTTACTGTTAAGTCTGTTTTTTTGTGATATCCATTTTACGTGACTCTCTACTTATGTATCCCGTCATACTTTGAACGACAAAATTATTTAATGTCTACCTGAGCGAATTTCAAACGCGCGATTTTACGCCAGTACTTAAAACCTTCCATCCTTTATGGGTGGATTTTACATAGATAAATAAAATCGTATAATAAAAAAGCAAAATGAGGATGTTAAATTTGATGTATGCCCTTTTGTGCTTCTTCGTTACATTTGTTTGTTTTTATAGTGATTAAGATGATAACACAATGTTGACTGCTGTACCCCTATTTTTGACAGTTTTACTTATTGTGTCTGTTTGTTTTGTTCACGTATCGTTGTCAATATAATGGAATTTGATGCGACTGTCATACAAGTGAGAGGTTTAGCTAGCTATAAAACCTCCTCATACATATGTTAGTGCATCTCTACAAATGAAGTTAGTATAGTGTGAACATGCTCGATCAGGAATGTGCTACTAACACAAAAACTACTCTAACTGAGGCTGTCATCTTGAATTATAATAAATGAATGGAAATGTAAATGACACAACTGACCAGCTTGACACTATCCTTAAACACGTCAAATGACAAAAGTCCTCCGATAACTCTTTTTAATGAGAGGTTGCCCTTACATGAGGGATTTTTCCCTTCTTATGTTTACCCGAAACCATATCAGACAGATATAAACTATAAATAACAAATGCTATTTATTGAGTCAAATGGCCGAAATGATCTTGAACGACGAATTTTAACAATTCCTTCCTTTTCGAATAAATATTGGACATATATTTTTGTTACATGCCATCAATTTTATTCACAAATTACCGGACACGCAATACATAGAAATATACTGTTTAGTGTCTTTAAATATATGCCAGCTTCAGCGAGCTATTACTCCTGCTTTGACCCGAGTACAAATACAGCTGATATTTAAAGACACTAAACAGTTTTTGTCTTCATTCTGCAAATAGTTTAGTACATTGTTTTTGCTTTAAAAGATAGAAAAACTCGCATTTATTTCATTCATTTTCGATTTAAAATCTTTTGAGGCCCGCGTAGAAATATTTAAAATCACACAATCAGACCGGTCGGGTACGCAGAAATGAATCTCGCATGGTCAACAATAATACATCGCTCAAAGTTAATTATTATTTATTATAACATAACAATTTAATTCAACAATAAAAACAAATAACAAAACGTTGCCCGATTTAAAACAAAAGTGTATGATTTGTCCTACGCTTCAAAATTTTGAACTGAATTTTGCATTCATTGAATATGCTGAAATTGACATTGTTGCATGGTTGATTACATGTACACATTCGGCGCCGACGAAAATGGAGTTAATCCTGCTGGTCATGTTTGTCTGTTAGCAGAAAATGGGCTTTAAATAAATACTTGAAAATTAACAGAACATAAATTAATCTAAAGTTAATACAAGATCAAGAAATTTGTCATTGGAATGCGACTGCAATACACATTCTGAGGTCACGAAGGTTCATACACCACTCGTCAACAACAATACAAAAAAGTAGACCGGCAGTAGGCGGAGCTTAAAGCGATATCTGTATAGTATACAAATACAGGCTAGCGATATCTGCTACAATAAGACACCCAATTGCAGGATAAAGTCTCGTAGGACTAACTAATTTGAAACCGATTGCAGAATGTAAGATTAGAATTTTACGTTACATTTCAATTTAGAAAATAAATACACATATTTAAAGCACCAGATCAGTATTTTAGAAATTACCCTTTGACAATGTTAAAGGCCTTGTTTCAATTTACCTATTTTTATATTTTGGGAAAGATAAGCATACTCTACACTCTTACGAATAATACAGTCGTTATGTTCCGCTAATCTCCGATTATTTCATTAACGCCTGAAAGCATACACAATGAAAAATTTGATAATCATTTATTCGGAATGGTTCGGGATTTACCTATATCGATAAAATTGAGCTGACTGATTATTGGTAACCTCTTCAAGAAAGTTGATGAACAAGGTTTATGCCAAAAAGCGTCTCGTCCTTAACTAAAAACGTACATCGGAAGATACCTAGACCTTGTTGATAAATATTCCGTATCAACTTCACAAATAATACATGATGGTCTTGATGTATAGATTCTAGGTACTGACGTTGTTTATCTTCTTAATTACGTGTTACAGTGTTCTTTTATTTGTCTTTGTAAATTATTAACCTTTTCTGTTTAGTCCACTTTTGGTAAGATCCTTTTGGCGTGGCTCTATACTTCTGCATCCCGCCAATGTGTTGTTGTGCTGTGTTTTTTGTATTATTGTCTTTAATGTTTGCTTATGTGTTTTTTCTATGCCATTTTCTTTTTTCTTTGTTGACATATTTGTTTGTTTTTATAGTGATTAAGATGATAACACAATGTTGACTGCTTTACTCCTATTTATGACATTTTTACCTATTATGTCTGTCAGTTTTGTTCACACATTGTTGTCAACATAATGGAATTTTATGCGACTTTCATACAAGTGAGAGGTTTAGCAAGCTATAAAACCAGGTTTAATCCACCATTTCCTACATATAAGGAAATGCCTGTACCAAGTCAGGAATATGACAGTTGTTTTCCATTCGTTTGATGTGTTGGAGCTTTGATTTTGCCATTGGCATTCCCATTGACAAGGGACTTTCCGTTTTGAATTTTCTTTAAAGTTAGGTTTTTTTGTTATTTTACTCTTTTTAGCAGTTGAATTTGAAACTTATCATGTATTTAATACTTCAGTTCTTGTGTTTGTACACCTGTGTTTTTACAACAATGTTATCATAGGTATAAAAGTAGTGGCATGTGGTATAATTGCCAACGAGACAACTATAACACATTTAGCTTGAGCGTTTCCAATGAAGGTCGATAAAAAAACCCAGCTATGATGCACTCATTTATTTCATGATCAACACTTTAAAGCAGAATCTTCTGACCCTTCTTGAGCACCTGAGACTTTTTCTGTTTTTTTCCCCATTTTTCGATGTTGTGTTTTTGTAGACTGCTGTTTATCTTTTTTGTCCTTTTTGTTAAATGCAGTGGTGTTTGTCAGTTTGTCTTCGACTCATGAATTTGAACTTTTTATTTTTTTTTATTTCCATTTTGTTCTTTTTGTACGTTATACAGCATTTACTTTATAATAAATTTCTTTTAAAAAAAATTTCCAGCTTTTTCTTTTCAAAGCAGCGAATGTATTACTATTCGAATCAGATCTTCCGAGGGTACGGAAGCACCGAAATGGGATGATGAACCCTGTGCATCGAGATATAGATATATTTGCGAATTTCCGAGGGTTAGTAGGAACATTATTTTTGAAATTATTTGATAAATTGAATATCTGTTATATATTATTGAAACGAAATCACTTGTCTTACTAAAAGTCAATTTTAGAGTAATATCATTTTGCCATGTTGGCAAAATATTCGAATTTAAACAGAGCAGCTAAGTTATAAAATATATTGAGATAGACCATGATATATATCTGATTTTTTTTATATGGAAGTCTTAGATATGTAGTTATACTTTGATCAAGGGGGTATTTTGAGGAAACGATGGTATATCTCATCAAAACGGGAACGCATATAGTGTGTTCAATGAATGAGACGTATCATCAGTTTGTTCAATGAATGAGACGTATCATCAGTTTTCTCAATGAATGAGACGTATTATCAGTTTGTTCAATGAATGAGACGTATCAACAGTTTGTTCAATGAATGTAATTTTTAAAAGTTTTGAAGTCTTCCGCCTCTCATCCGCAAATCTGCCTCTAGTTCACAAACCTGGGAAATAACTATATCTGTTCATGAGTTACACTTTCGAAGAATATACTCATTGAGTTGATGAAAATAATAATGTTCAAATTGAAATTCCGCTATACAAATTATGTTGTTAAAAAAGTCGAAGAGAAAGTTACAAAACTACGATGCTCTAAAAAAAAAACTGTGTCGCTCACCTAGGTCTATGTGCATCTTCAACAATGGACACTTTCAATTCTTGTAGACTAGACTATAAATCATGACCAAAATCTTTTTTGGATGATCATTGTCATTCATCGTTTAATAATTTATCTCTACCTTTTATATTTTTTTGCCCAAAACTCAATAAAGGATAGATTTGTTATTTAAGGGCAATAACTCCTAAAAGAAGATAACTGACAATTCAATCTATGCTGACCTTGTCTTACTGACCGTTTTGGTTAAAAAACAAACAATCTCCAATATTATGGTAACGCATATATTACTTAGTTACAGAGTATAAGTTGGCAAAGTATAGACTTTTTCTTATAAAATAATAAAATCTGATGAGTATGATGAGGACATGTAGTTTGTCAGCTCTCTCTGAATCCATCTTTTTTGTACCTGATACTTATTATTGTACATATTTAATCTTGAAACGAATCTTTCTATAAACAAACCAGTATAATAGTGTTAGAACGTAAGCACCTTGATTCAATAAGGATTTTTTTTGTCCACAGACCATTTCATGCAGGCTTAAAAAAACACTTGTAAGTGGGCATATTTGAAACAAAAAGCTGAAAATATATTCTAGAATGCTTACCGAGTTTTTTAATTTTAGTCAACCATATAATACTTTAATATTAAGGATACAATCCTAGTATTTTTAGAGAATATCACTGTAAAAGTTGTCGGACGACAACGACAAGAGACAACCACGACAGATGACAAACTTTAAACGACAGACACCAAGTGAATTAAAAAACAACAAAAGACAAAACAACAGTTTTCAAAATATATAGAGCTGAACAACATGAACTCTACCTAAAACTAGTGATGATGTCAGGTGCTCCGGCAGGGTAGGCAGATCATGTGACACCCGTCAAGTATAGTATTGTAGTTTCGAATGATTTCTATTTATTTAAGCAAGTTTTGTTGTGCCATTACGTTTCGGTTTGTTAATGTAGCCCAACTTTTTTGTACAATCAAATTTCAATCTGTTTTTGTTTACAAAGTATTTTATTGCATTTAAAAGTAAGGTAATTATTTTAGCAAATATATTTAGTCTAAACTCTTCATATTTTGTTTTTCAGAAAACCTGTCCATAGAATTGTATGTGGTCATTGTTATATTTCAATGGACGAATTGTCGGATGCGTAGTGCAATAAAATAACAAATAAGAATCATCTAGTTTGTATTGTTTATTTTGTTTTGACTTTGCAACACCCGTTTCGGTTTTCTAAGATGATGAATAATATGTGATTTTCATAATCTAAGAAATCATGAAATTAGGATATAGCGGAGAATTCGTCATTTATTGAGCAACCAAACAACAGAATTAAAACAGAAACAACTAATAATCTCTTAAATCAGGCAGACACGTGTCTACATTATAATGATAATTGCTCCTATTCGTCCCTAAACTTCTAAATTAAAACAAACAAACAATGCAAAAAACCAACATAAGCTTCGAACACGGCGAGACCAGGCGCTTTGATAAGGTATGTAGATAACAAAGCCTGGCAAGTTTTATGTTCACGAATAGAAACTGAAAATATCGCTCACTTACACCCCAGTTCTAATGTTAAGCTTCATAGTTTCTATTTCTGAAACAAGTGTAAATTGAATAGATCTATTGTTACGAAAAACAATGGATTTTGACCACAGGGTGTGACGAGGAGGGTTTCTGGAAACCCCTGCTTCTACATCCCGAAAACGCAGTCCATTGTTATTCACAACAATTCAATTTAATATTTATTGGAAAGAGCACAATAGAGGCGTGATCCGAATACAGACAATAATAATATTAAAACAACATATAAATGAAATAACATCCAGTCATAAGTAAATTCTATAGATACCATAACATTCTAAGTATATTCTATGAATACCATTACATTCTAAACTCATATTAATACCATACATATATATATCAAGATTATTCTGAATTTTCATAATTTTGCTTAAAACACACAATCACTTATATAAGATATATGTGTATATGCACAAACTACTATAAAGGATTATTATCTGATGAAACAGTATGGTGGTCTCTCAAATCAAGAGCTTCTTCAATATACATACAAATAGATTTTATTTCTTTTTCAGACATAGGATTTAACATTTTGGTAAAATTTTCATCCAAATTATTTACGTTAATATCATTGATTTTATATTTAGATCGATATTTGTTATATTGAGGACATTCAATCAAGAAATGTATCTCATTTTTCCTATGCAATATTTACAAAATCTCTCATTAGAGGGAATTATTGGTCGTGCATACCTACCAGTTTCTATTGCTAATGAGTGTGCACTTATTCTTAATTTAGTGAGTTTTTCAATAGAAATTGATTATTTTTTAAAAAGCATGAACATAATAAATTTCTAATAGTATTCACTACAAGTCGTTTCAAGATATTAAAAAAAAAAAACACATTTTAGGAAATTCCAATAGCGAAAAAAGCATCTATTTTGAATAAAAAAACAAATCCTTTAAATACTCCTTTGCATGCAGGTAAATTTTTTGATCCCTGTCATATGTCATATGTCTCTATTCTAAACCATTGATCTAAAAAACGGAGATTCTAACTCCCGACTCCCGCGAATCCCCCCCCCCCGGATTGCCCCCCAAAAAATGAGTTCCTGAATATTCAATCTGTATTTTTGTATGTTGAGCATGTCCGGTCGTCGGGTTTCTATTCCAGACACATCTATCCTTCAGTATGTCCGAATATTTTTTTTTTATAAAACCATAACATATAAAATACATTTATGATTACCTTCATTAAACTGATACAGGTAAATACTTTGAATTATAATATTGCCTTTATCTTAAGTCTCTTCTACCAAATCCAACGCTTGACTCAAAATGTCGTCCGTCTTATACCCGTCCATATTGACAAATGCATACAAGGAGCATGATGTATTTTTTTTTGCAATAAGAATGTTGAAAATGGTCAACTTTGACCTGCTGATCCATATTAGCACATGGATTTAACGGGAATATGCAAAACAGCAACTTTGACATTTGTAAAATCTACTCACTTGTTAAAGTTTGAACGGAGATAGCCAAGTAAGGTTACTAGTGGGGTTTCATGCAAAAAAAAAACTCTTATAAATCATGGTTTGCTATTGTCGATAAATATGCTATCCGCTCTTTTTCATTCAATAATCAATGTTAACAAATATAGGGTTTAGTATTGGGTGTAAGTTAGTTATACACCTCGGGATACGGCGTGTCTGGATAAGAAACCGCTCCGGCCTCCGGCCGTCGGGGTTTCTTATCCAGACACACCTTACCCTCAGTGTATACCTATTACACACACTGGTCAAATGTATTGGAGAAAGGATATACAGTGAAACACAGTTCATTTTATTAAATGTTGATTTTTTTTTATTGAAAGTGCATCTCTATACAACCCCATCCCCCTTTCCACCCCCCCCCCCCCCCAAAAAAAGGGGAAAACGATACAAATTTCATCAAAATCCATAATTAAGTGAAAAACAAGAAAACACAAATACTAAAAAATTACCGGTACTACTTTAAAGACAACACAAAAAAAGGTTCAATTACATGTAGGTTAACGATCTGATCCAAAATGCGATGGTTAATTACGTGCTCCGGAAGGAAACGCACTTTCTGCTTCATAAGTGAAACATAACATGTTGTTCATGATCATGTAAGATAAATTGTGATCTCAAATCGAAAGTTTAGATGATACGATCGAGAAATTGGCTACGAAAGTGTAACATATCCTTGGTAAACTGTAAAAATGTATTCTTTAATAGTCATCTAGATCATGATTGTGTTCGTTTCGAAAAAAATGCTTTTAGTTTTATCAGAAGGAACATTTGGTTCAAAAGATGCCCGGTACACTTGAGTAAAAATTCAGAATTTTTAATGTCTGATAAAATAGGACGTCTTACATGTACACTGACCGTTGCTGGTGTGTGATAAAATGTTGCTTCATCGACATGAGAAGATACAGTCATAAATTTTACTTCTTCACACACCCACATTGGTATTTCTATTACGATGTGCAGATTTAATTAAACTTGATATCATTTTAAGAATCGTTTTTAAGAATATGCTTAAAATCCTGTTTTAATACCATCGTGTTTATATTATTTCCATAATTGCGTTTCGTAAAGTGACTACACACATTGCGCTAAATGTATAGGTTTTTAATTACTGAAGGTTTTCAAACAATCAAATGTTAAAAGATTTTAATACAATTGGTATATAAACACTCTAAAAGAGCAATTACTTCAATTCAAAACCAGAAGTATATATTGAACTATTTTACAGTCTGCACAAAAATGAGTGGCACAAAAAAATGTATAATGTGTGTGTATATATTTTTACCTGTTATCCGTGTATCTTTCAGATGTTTTCCTCGTATTTCTGAATTAAACATTAGAAATTTAAATACCTTAAGGATTTTTTCGCCTAAATAGCATTGTTGATTCAAAGGCCGCTAAGGGAACGAACCCGTTTTTGTCCAAAATAAAAATTTCGTAAATTTCTGAAATATTTTAAATTATCCTCACGTAAAAATGATCGTATTTTAGAGCTAATAATAAAGATTCCATTACCATGATTAAACAAAAGCTCTTTTAGATTTGTAAAGATATAAGTCTTCTGAAACCAAAAATATTTTAAAGATAATTACTTCTCATTGATAAATCAACAAGACCGCACAAGCTGAAATGTCTCTCCTGCTTTACTGAACATTGTTTTCTTGTAGAAAGTCTCAAAGATAAAAGTTTTACTACAAGTATTACAAAAACTTGACATTTTCAAATATCCATGGCAATGGAGTCAAGGTCAGATAATTCTGTCTGACAGACATGTACACCATACAATTATTATTCAATATACTAAACATAGTTGACATAGTGCTTATGGTAATTGAAAAACAGACCAAAACACAAAAACATAACATTGACCAATGAACCATGAAAATGATGTCAAGGTTGGATTTGACTGCAAGACAGACATGCACAACTTAGGGCAAATACAAATAAATGTGTGGTTTCAGTTACATCCTTTTAAAAAAAATTAGGTTGTTAGGTCGACAATTTTATTTATTTTATTTTTAATTTTTATTTTGGATTGTCAAAATCCGGACAAAAATCGTGTATTTACCGAGTTGGATTCTGGTATTATACGCGTTCCTACCGGAAGTTCGCCATTTTCTATGTATCTGGTTGTAAAAAAAAAATAAATATTACGTTTTAAGTTCATTTTGTTGCATTCTGTTAAGAATTTGTTGCATTTTAGCCATAGTGGATACTTCTGATGGATATTCAGATGACAGAAGATGTTTGAAAATTTATTTTTCTGAAATAAAAAAAAAAAAATATTCTAGGATCGGGGGGTTTAACTTAGGGTCGGTCGGGTACCTGGAACCACACATATACTTTTATCAGATCAAGGTCAGATGAAACCTGCCAGACAGACTTGTACTTCTTCCTATCATTCCATAGACCAAGTATAGTTTTCCTACTGCTTATAGTAGTTGAAAAACAGACCAAAACACAAAAACTTAACATTGACCAATGAAAATGAGGTCATGGTCAGATGAAATCTGCCAGACTGACATGTACCCATTTACAATCATTCAAAAAACCACATATAGTTGACATTATGCTGATACTATTTAAGAAACGGACCTAATCACTTAACTTTTACCTTGATCACTGATCCATGAAATGAGGTGGGGATCAGTTGAATCCTGTCTGGCGGACATGTAGAAGTTGCAAGAAACCCATATACCAAATATAGTTCTTCTATTACCCATAATAAATGAGAAATTCACATGACAAAAAATCTCATTTTTTTTCATTCAATCACTGAACCATGAAAATGAGGTCAAGGACAATGGACATATGAAAACTGGAAACTTTGTAACATAAGGTATCTGCATACAAGATAGGAAGCACCCAGGTCTTCTACCTTGTGAAATATATAGCTTCCTACAAACAGTTTACGCCGCCGCTGCCACCTGATAGTAATACATTAGTCTCGTATACTGCGACCTTCGCCGCGATACATAAATCAAAATGTAAAAGTAGTATATAAAAAAAAATGGTGGACTAATCTTGCAACCAAGTGCATAGTTAGCTTTCCCTGAATTATTTTTCTCAATCAATCAACCTTTCTCATTGAAAATGTGAA